GGTCATTGGGCAAGACTCCGATAAGCGCCGGTCCTGGCGGCGGGTCCGTCGGGGTCACGTCCACGGCGGTGGCTCCGGCGTCGGGATGAGAAACGGCCAGTGGCAAGCGTTCCTCGAAGCGCCGGGTCGCAAGTCTCCCGAAGCACCCGAATGGCCTGGGGCAAGAAAGTGGCCTGAGGATGAGCACCGGCGGCGGGCCCCCGCCCCCGAGGCGCCCGCGCCCCCGCAGCCTCGCCGCGCCGCCATGCAGCCCCGGGCCGCCCCGCAGAGAAAGCCAGTCGCCTTGTCCTCCTCTCCCAGGCGCCCGCACCCCAGAAACGAAGGGAACGACACCCCCAAAAAACTCGCCGACAAAACACTTGCGACGCTAGGGGTGGTGTCGGCCTCAGCTTAACTTCCCTCCTCCACCAATGGGCACGCGCGGCCCCGCCCATGTCTCTCGCAGAGCCAATCAGCGAGCAGCGGCGCCGTCAAACCTCCTTAGGGGCCAATCGGGGGGCGGGACGGCCGGGCCAATGAGACGGCAGCGCTTCATTTAAATGATGGCTCTGTCGCGCTCTCCGCGGGGGAGCCGCAAACCGAGGCGGGGTCTTTGCGACACCTGGAAACCCGTTGCTTAGAGACGGAATCCGCCTTTCGGTTTTGCAAAGAGCTGGTGTCGAGGGGAAGCCCGGGGCGGCAGCAGCTTTTCCACCGGAGGTAGAGCCGCCCTTGCGGTTGCCAGGGGCAAACTCGGGCAAAACCGTTCAGGAGGCTAATGTGGCTCCAGCCAGCGTCCCGTCCAATGGCCCCCGCCCAGGGTTATAGTCATTCATTGGGTTTTTTTTCTCGCGGTTCCCACGGCCGAATGGGAGAGAATGAAGACGATATGTCTAGTTTGTGCGAACGTGCTTATTTCAATGAGTGACCACAGCAGGGGGAGTCAGTGAGTTTACATGCCGGGTTTTTATTTATTTATTATTGAATGTACTGGGGTGACATTGGTGAGTAACATTATACAGGTCTCAAGTGCACAGTTCTACAATATTGCATTGTGTCTATTGCATCGTGTGTTGGCTGGTTCTTAGAGATTTCTGGGAGCAAAAGTAGATGAAACCTGAGATTCACAATTAATTCATGACTGATGGCGCTGGCAGGCCGTCCCTGGACAGATAACTCCTTGGTTTTATCTAATAACATATGCATATATGCCCCGGGTGGTTTTAAGCCCCAACACTGTTGGATGGAACCCATTAACCTGTATTTTATGGACGTGCACTAAGGCCAGCTAGAGACAAAGCCAGGATATGTAACACAGGAGGCGTGGCCCTAATCTTGCCCTTACCCTACACCACACTGCCTCTAAAGGCAGTAGGAAACTCTGTTTTTGTTTTATATTTTTATTGATTTGAGAGAGGAAGGGAGAGGGAGAGAAACAGCCATGATGAGAGAGAATCATTGCTCGGATGCCTCCTGCACACCCCCCACTGGGGATGGAGCCTGCAACCTGGGGCATGTGCCCTTGACCGGGAATCAAACCGTGACCTCCTGGTTCATAGGTCGATGCTCAACCACTGAGCCATGCCAGCCGGGCGGAAACTTTAAAAATATGTACGGGTATGGGTATGGGCACACAAACGATGTCAGAAAAACATCCCTGGTTGAAAGGCAATGCGGAAGGTGAGACAGGAAATGACATTCACTGATACCCAATGGGGCCTGAAGTGGACCCGTTACCTTCACAATATTTAAACAAAACTGTTACAGAGGTGTGTTGACCCCGTTAAGACTGGTGTACAAGGAGAACATTACTACAGAGTTTTCTAAGCAAAAGTGTTAGCATGAATGATCATTCCAAAAACACTTCATTTACATTATGTCATCCTTCAGATTAACATTGCAAATACAAGCCTTCTCACGCCTCAGTCACTGAAAGGTTGGTTTCTGCTCCACTGTGTAGTTCATTTTGTTTACTAGTCATTGTTAGCATGTGAACATATATTAATTAGCCACTTAAAAACCATTAAATCATTTAATACACTTCATATGTAAAATACCGCAAAACATCTGGCTGATGAGAAATAAAATTGACGTCGATGTGCCCCAGAATGCTCGGTTTTCCATTTGTTCAGGGTCTCTGACTCACCCAGGCCTGCAGAGTGCTGAGTACCACATCCCCAGGCCGAGAACCTGTTCAGTAAGACCTGGACATGCTTTATGAAGACCCAAGAACTTTATTTTAAGTATCAAAATAACACAGAGAACTAGTTCAGCGTACAACATCCTCCTCATCACAGACACGGGGACTTTTCTACAAAGACACTGGTGCTTAAGAGACACGGGACAGCCAACGTATCCAGAAAACTCGCCCGGGAACGTCATACACGACAAAATGACGCCTGTGGGTATCTGAGGTTTCTCTCTGTAACTGCCCTGACACGTGTCCTTAAGGATGAAGACAAAACTTGGGACCTGAGACTGCAAACGAAGTTCGAAAGCATTTTCCCTTTAATGAACATGGTGAGTCCCCTTCATCCTAACGGGTACTACGCCGCGTGGAGCAGCTCAGCGCTCACCTCTGCACTCATCTGTTGGCCGCCACACTCATCAGCTGTCCTCCAGTTTCATCTGCAAGTCAAGCCCGACTGTTGGCAGGAATAAAAGTTTTGTAATTGCACCCCAGGGTGCTGTCCAACTATACCGCAAGCAGGAATACCGAGCAAAGAGGAGAAATAACCATGAGAAGTGTACATGCTGTTTATTCAAGAAATGTTTTAGAATTTCCAAAAGTAATGCAAGCACTGACAATACTTAAGAATTTGGGGGGGGGGGGGGGAAAGAGGTATGTCCATCTCTGTATAACCTCTATTCCGTGAATATACTCTTCATTTCTATTTATATAATGGCTACAGAGGCTAAATTTAGATTCTTTGGGAATTTTTCCAATAGTCATAGACTTAAGATCAATCGATACATAGCAAGTTGATGCGTGAAGAGTAAACAAAACGTAGGCTTTCTCTCTACCAAAATCTCTCATCTACCATACAAGCTAATCCTATTACTTTTGTCTTATTAAGGCTACTTCCAAAGGAGGTGCAGAGGGCATGCTAATATTCCAGCATAAAAGGATTGCGAAGAAGAAACAGTTTGGAAGGAAATAAAGAGGCCGATCCCCCTCAGGAAACCCCTGCACTTTACCGAGAGGCAATGCAAAAGCAAGCGAAGGGCCTAAGAAAGAGCTGTCTAATTTTCTCAACGAGTTAGAAAATGATTCTCACATTACCCATCATTCGCTCTAATAGCAGGTAACACTTGCCCATTACCCTATTTAAAGTCTTAGAAAAGCCACTGGCTTCTTGTACATTCTCATCATTTTAAATTTGGCACGGAATCGAGTCACCCCAATGCGACTTTCCAAGTCCTCCCTCTGCCCGCGTTGATACGCTCAAGCTGTTCGCTGGTTGGCTGGGTTGCTCCTGCTCCTAAGGGGGAACTCATTCAAGCCATCACCACCTCTTGTTCAGTTTGAGGCAAACTGAACTCAGAAACCGCTCAGTAGAGAGCTGTGTGGTTATGGTGACTGATGATGGTTAAAAAACTGGGGGGCAGGGCGGGGAGGAGACAGAGAGACAGACACACAACTCGTTTTATTTTATTTGTTAGATTCCTCTAAGAAGCGTATAGAGCCAGGCCTGGGAGTGTCTTTGCAGTGACTATAAAGCCAAAAGAGACATAAAAACACAAACAACAAATATTCACAGAAGTACGTGAGTGCCTATTTCCTTACGTAAACATAAAGCAACCTAAAAAAAATTATAATAAAGTGCTGCCTGACCAGCAGGCCACACACACATAAGACCCATAACAACCACAAAAATCAAACCCCGTTATTAGCCGGCACACGCTGGCCGGCGGAAGCAACTCGAAGCAACTACAACACAGGAGAAAGGCATGGAGCATTCCATCCAGACAAGACGGTCAGAGAGCCAGGGCCCCAGGTCTGATTTGTCCCCGGGGACACGGTCGAATGATCTGGAAGGAGGAAAACGCAAACTACCCAACATACCAGTTTAGCTGTGTCTTTACTTGTCTTGCCATTGTAGAATGGAAAACAATGCATGATATTTTACTAGCCCTCAACTAACGGTTTATAGTTACTCCGCTAAGATGCTTTGACACTTTAAAAGGTCGACCGAACGTTATCAGTGGACCTAACATCGCCCAAAAGGAAGTCACTTAGAAAAGCACCAGGTTAAGCCCTATCTTGGCTGCTCGCTCTTCTCATGGCGATAAATGACTAAATTACTTAAAAGGATGCCAAGACCACTACCTTCGGTGTTAGTGACATCTTGCTGGATGCAGAACCGACCCTAACCTAACATGGTATCTTAGACTGCAAAAAAATAGGTGGAGTGTTTCATACAAAAATAACTTCAACTCGTCTTAAAAAAAAAAATCTAAGGCAAATGATTTTAATAGTGTAGTGTAAAAAATAAGCTTACTGTTATGCATTTAATAGTGTTCACTTAAGGTAACATTCTATACATTAAACTGAGGAAAACAGCGTTACTTGTGATTCATCTGTCAGTATGACTCTTCCCAGAGTACTTTCTTCTGTTCTTGTTTTTATACATATAAACACAAACACTTCATCTTAGTATTCAAACTAACCTTTTTTTTTTCTTTTTAAATCCATAAGCCTAGGACTTCAACTGTGCTTCTTTGGACAAATATTTATTCAGACAACGAAGAATTTAAATTCTTTTGAACTATTGCAATACCTACTAAAATCTTTGGTGCATTTAAGTAAAAACGGAGCAGGTTAACAAATCTCTACACTTTATAAATTATTCCACTTACATATTAAGTGCTAACTGCTATCAGCTAAAACATTAATTTAAAACAATAAATTATGCTCATAAGATAAAAAATTCTGAATGAGGCTAAGCTTAGTTGCAAAATTCAAAATTTAAGTACAGGTACAGAAGTAACGAATTTTAGAGTCGATGGGACACTTGTCCCAGAAACTCCCAACTAGTACAAAAGGTTAAGGGAAAAGAGGAGGCCTCATTTCATATTTCTTGTGCCAACTTCAAAAACTATATACATTCAGTTTGCCCAAATCTACGAGGTTTTCACCAGTTTAGCGTGTCTTAGGCTCTCATTTGGAAATTAGAGGCAGCAGATTGGGATTGTTTGCTTGTTCGTCCGCTGAGACTCTTTTTCGTCAGAATCACCCTTCCCCGCCCAGCCTGCTGACGACGACGCGAGAACACGCGGTGCCTGGCACCTGGGAGGCAGGACTGATGCCCCGTGTCCTTCCCTAGAAGCCGGGACCTGCCACTCATCAATGAGGGGGGCGTAACTGCGTCCTTCGCCTCAGACACCCTCTCTCCAAACTGGGAAGACAGCACGTCCAACTCGCCCTCAGAGCTCGGTCTGAAGTTTGCAGAAGATAACTTGCAAAAGCAATTTAGAAACCTCTGTTCAGGCGTAGTGACCTACAATAACTCAATAGATTTGTATTTCATTTTACGGAAGAGATGCATTCCAGAAAAGTGGCCTACTGTAAACCAATCCCTACCATCGAACCATGTATTTAAAGCATTAGGTGATGGAAAGAACCCTAAAGTAAATACCTTCAAAAAACAAAGTGTCCTTTTCACTGTGAAAACGCAACACCCCTTCTGTGCTGCTACCAAACAGAATACACCCTGTACACACACGTCTAGACCATCTGTCTTTTTGCAAGTCCCAGTCTTCCACGCGGCTTGTATGCGAGGCAGGGTACACTGCTGGCTATGATGATTTCTTTTCCTAAGAGGAAATTTTTAGTTCAAAGCCGTGTTGTTCTTCATGTTAAAAATCCTCAGGATACGCATTTCTCAAAGTCGATCTGAAAGACTAACAGACTCACAGGACCTCACATTGTCAAGTTCAGCCATGTAAGTACCAGATAGATTATCGTTTCCACACAAGAGAATGTGCCAAACAGGAGAATTCATACATTAATTCCATCTACCGGTCCTGGAATGACTGTAGCCGAATCTTAACAACTGAGGCAAAACTCGGGCTGGTCTTCTTATTTACAGGAGCTACTTGGGGTAAGTAGCCTCAGTCCTCACCACTTTTTCTCCTCTTCCCACCAGCACACAAACTGTAAAGTACCTTCCTTCCCTAAGTGCTTCAGCCAACACCTGTCCCCATCAAGTGGCTAAATTTTATTGAAACTTCATTATTTTATTTGTGATTTTTTTTTTCTCACAAGGGCTGGGCCAGACATTAGTTTACATTAAAAAAAAGTGCTTAAAGCAATTAGGAGTGTAAACAAAACGGAAATAGCAAACTCTTCACATTGCTATTTTCCACCAGTTTACATACAAATGACAGGCTACGGGAATCGGCCTATCTAACCTCCCAGCAGCTCTCCTAGAAAACAGTGTCCTCGCTGAAGTTGAAGTTGACTTGAAGACACGGAAAGTGCACACCTTTAAAGGCATCTCACTGACTTTTTCCTCAGTTAACTGTCATCAGTGAGGAGTCCCTGTAACTGCCAGTTCCCTTCACCAAGTGCTCAACTTCTGTCTCAGACGACAACAAAAATCAAGGATAATTAGACTCCAGGCCTATGGGAAAAGCAAGCCTAAACCTGGGTTCCATGTACACCTGTACACACACAGTGGTTCCCTGTAATGACTAGTAAACAACACTGAGTTTGGACAGACACACAGAGGATAATTTGGCACCTTTTCTAACAACGGTGTGCGGAACATCTCGGTTCTGTTTCCTAGCGTTTCAGTCGGCCAGCGTCAATGAGACCAAACGTCACCTGTTAATTACATTTCATTGATTAGTGAGATGAAGATCTATGCTGTGATATGTTAATGGGAAATAAATGGCAGCTAGGACAGGTGAACTGACCTTGAACAATACTATCACAGTTTGCTTTCTACATATTATCAATTGTGTAATTTAATGCCTAGATCTGTATTTGCATTTCTTATTCATGTTAACTGAAGCATAGGCAAAAACCAATCATTTGGATAATTATTTCCATTCTGCATTTCATTGAACACGCTACTCTGACACTCGTTACCTTTCTGGCTTTTTGTTAAAAGACCAAAGGAGAATGATAAACTAAAATTATCAGGTAACCAGACTAAGAAACAACACAGACATAGCCAAGACTTCCTTATAAATTCAAATCCCTAATACCAATTTCCAAAACCTGGAGGAAATCATGAATCTTAGTTCGGATAAAGAAGGGTTGCGATTATCAGTAAACTCTCGTCAATTCTTTCCTAAAGCCTACATGGTCCTTAAACTTGTTCGGAAGATGGGGAAGGGAGAGAAGAGGAATGAGACTAAAGAATAAAATTTCCACTGATGATTCAAAAAACCAAAACATAATGTCAACAGCTAATAATTTTGAAAAGTTTGAGATTCCATTAAAATTAGCGCTAAATCATCTTTCAAAATCATAAAAATGTTCACTTCAAATACCTCAATATGTGTCCAAATATTCACATGTTCAGTAAACAGAGATACGTATTTTTTCTTGATTTGCGACGGCTCTGAGTACTTGAAAATGAACAAAATCGCAGCCCTACTCGTTGAAAAGCCACCTGCACCAGGCGGCCAGCACGTGGGCATCCAAGAAACCCGTGGAACGCGTGGGCTTGCTCACGAGTGATGCTCCGCGTCGGACATGTTCTGCACGGCCGTGGCGCTGTCCAGGCCCAGCAACGTCCCGAGGTAGGACTGCTCCCGGGGGTCCAGCATCTGCTCAGGTCGGACGGGGTGAACTATATTTGCAGGCTGAGGAGTCAGGGTGTATTTTTCCAGAAAAGCTAAGTCAGCTGCCCGTGGGTAGTCGGCTGCCGGTGGCTGTGGCGACAGGATGTCGTGCGAAGGCGGTGGGAGGGGGGCGCTGTGCTGCCCCAGGTCGCTCGGGGCGTCGGGCATCTGCACGGGAACCAGCGTCACGGGCACGCACACCTCGGCAGACACGTCCTGGAGCATCGCCTTGGCCTCCGTCTGATAGGCTTTGGGCTGGTCCGTGTACTGTTTCGTTTCCGCCTGGAAGATCTTGTCGTCGGACGAGTACTCCGCGGGCAAGGGCACGAGCTTCTCCTCGGAAGCGCTCAGAGCGTCGTCGGGGGACTTGATGCCGTGCACGTGGTCCGTGTGGTACTTGAGCTTGTCCTTCCGCTTGAACGTGGCGTTACAGTACTGACAGTAGAAAGGCCGGGCGTCCGAATGAATGACCAGGTGCTTGGTCAAGGTCTTCTTAATTCTGAACGACTGATTGCAGATCTGACACTTGTATGGCTTTTCACCTGCAGGAACAAACATGACGTGTAAAATGCACTGGCTGGAAAAGACAATGGCTTTCAGTAGCCAATTTTCCATGCGGATCCTTACAAGAACTGAATAAAATAATGCAGTATGTTATGTGCTGTCACAACGCAGTCAGCTGGTAAAAGAGTGAAAGACTTGGGTTTGAATTCTGGCTGTGCCCCTTACTAGACAACCCTTGAGCAAGCGTCCCAATTCTCAGTCGTTAGCCCCGACCGTTATCATTACGGCTGGCTTTCACTCTCCTTTGTTCTCACAGTGGCCTCTGTGTCCCCCCCGACTGGGGCTTCTTCATCTGGAGGGAGGTGTGATTTTGCTTGTCACAGCAGCACTGGGTCACTCAGATATTCCATCCTGTAATTCTTGCCTATTGAAACCACCCGAATCCGGTTATTCCCCCATTCTGGTATTTATGAACGCAATTATCGTTCTTTTCCAGAACAGCCGCCTGACAACACTCAAACTCAATATAAAACAAAGTGGCTGGCCCTGACTGGTTTGGCTCAGTGGATAGAGCGTCGGCCTGCGGACTGAAAGGTCCCAGGTTCGATTCCGGTCAAGGGCATGTACCTTGGTTGCGGGCACATCCTTAGCAGGGGGTGTGCAGGAGGCAGCTGATCGATGTTTCTCTCTCATCATCGATGTTTCTATCTCTCTCCCTTCCTCTCTGTAAAAAAATCAATAAAATATATTTTTTTAAAAAACACAAAAAATCAAAGCGGCTGAAAATGCATAAATGTGCCTCTTTCTCAGAGAGGAAGAGGAAGAGCACGAAAACCTCCTAACTGATATGAGACGCCAAACACAGACATCCAGGGAGGATTCCCCCATAGCCTCTGTTTCACAACAGGCAGCAGCACCGGGGAAGAGGAGGATGCAGAATGAGGCCACTTCCGGAAAGCAGCGAAGCCAGCCGTCTACTCGCCCACCTGTGAGTGACAGCTGACTGTGCGGAGGAAAAGGACACGCGGGCACTTGCGGGCGAGGCAATGAGGCCATATTTGAATTACTTTGTCAAAGACAAGAAAATAACTGTCTTTAGAGAGTTCACAGATAGAGAGGAACCATAAACAAGCAGACGAGAGGAACAGGAGAGCCACGCGCTGAGTCCATTCCCGATGGGAAAGGTCTTCCCCTAATTGTACAGAAGGATGTTCACAGCATTAAAGCTTATGTCAGGGAGAATGGGAGACCGGCATACAGCTCATCGGTAACGTCAAACTTTACGTAATGAGTAACAGTCTTAATGGGGGGAAAAAATATAAAACAATTTAACCGAGAACAACAAAGTTTAAAAGCCTCTATTTTACTCCTGAATAATACACAAAGGTATATATATATATAAACTACCCATTAAGTTTTACCTGAATGCGTCCGAAAATGCATTTCGAGACTTGATTTGCCTTTAAAAAATTTCTTACAGACATCGCATTGATGAAAGGTGGCTTTATATCTAAGAAAATAAAAAGGGTTGAGTTTTTTTCAGCGTAATTTCAATAAATAATACACCACAAATCGAAGTACAATGGTGTCAAAGACAAGCACCTGTAAGACCAAGTTGGGCGCTGAAGTGGCCACTGTCTTCGTGGAATAAATACCATTTGACTTGAAAGAACAAAAGACAACCTACAGTTACAGACCTGAATATTTTGGCAGGTACTTCCTCAAAATTAAATAAAGTGAACCTGTCACTTCATGGGGGAAAAACTGACAATACTGGTTGCTGATAAAATTGGAGCTTTCAAACTAACGTAAGACTTTGGGGAAACTTGCATTTGCCCTTGATCTTGGCAGGGTCCCAGCACTCCATTCTGGGACGCTAGCGGAAGTATTAGCAAACGTGACTTGTTGATCCCATCCTGTGAAATACACTGACACTGGAAAATCTGTAACTCAGTGAGCCCGTTTCCAAATGACGAACGCAGGATACGACAGTGTCATGTAGGTACCACACCCATTCAAAGTGCAAGGCCGACCAAGAGATTACAGGCATCAGAGGATAAAACCCCAATTATCTTGTTCGGGTCCCCACTAGCTCCTACCCTTACGAAGCTACCACTTGCTGAGTTTCAGTGTGGCTGTCACGAATAACACCCACAATTACCTACGAAAAAGGCTATTGTAAGGCTCCTCCGTTAACCAGCCGTGTATCTGAGGGAGGCTAGGTTTTCTTCATTTCCTTCAACCAAATAACACCCGTGACAGCAGACAGGACAATCCAGCTCGGAGGCCGTGAAAGGGATTTACAAGAACGTAAAACACCACACTCCTTTGATAGTTTTGTTTTGTGAAGGACTTATTTTTCACACAAGTGCTATTTATGTGAACATGGGATGGCCGTCTCATTACTAAATGAACTAATAAGTAAGAACTTACATTTTTCTCATTTTAATTTCTAAGGATTCATGTAATGCATCTCAACGATAATACAGCATCTATGTTGTAAGCACATAAACAAACGCTCCCAGGGCACTGACCCACTTTAAGGGGACAGAGGGGTTGAGGCTCTGGAGCGGTGAGCGTGCGGGCCCGTCTTCCACCCATGCGCACGGGCTGCTGAGGCCGACTTCCTTCTCCGCATGGCATCGTGGGTATTTTCACGGCCCAGCCCTTCAGAGCCTGCTGGCACCTCGTGAGCCCAGAGTACAACGACCCCTCTGAACACACTGATGCAATGAGTGGGTCGCTGAACAAGGTCAGCGAAGGTCAGCGAAGGGAGCGCCAAACCAATGCATGAAAATGAGCAAAGGATGCAGTCGCCTCCTAGTGGCCCTCAGGCCCGTCTCCAGCTCCTGCCGTTATGGACGCTGTGGGCAGCACGCTCAGGACCTGTCACTAAGTGTCCGGGCACTTGGACCACGTCTGCTGCTTCGCACTTGCTCCAAATACCGCGTCCAAGAGCAGAAACTCGTTCAACATTTTACACTCAACACCGAAGTTAAGCTTGGCTATCTAAATTGTACTAAAAAGTGGATGATCCGGACAATGCATGCCTCCTTTAAATGAAATACCATGTTAAGTGCTTAGTGTGGTTAAAAAGGTTTAAGTTCTGACTACAGACATTCCCGGTAACTGCTGTCTCATTAAGGATAATACTCAGGCAGTGTCATATACGCAAGAGCCACAGCAACCAACACACACAAATCCCCAAAAAAGTGCTGAGCTTTTATATGAGTCGTTAAGTTCAATGTCCACCCCCCTAGCCTCGGAACAACTCGGTACTTATGCTTTGCTCAACTCCTACAGGTCTGCAGAGAAGCTACAGCAGTGAGAGAGAGCTGGTTAGCCAACCTATCCCCAACCAAACAGCATAAACTGAGACACCTTGTGAGTCCCCCCAGCCCAGGCTGATCCGACGCGGTACTGATGAGAAACACTGCCTGTCCACTTACTTCTGCCACACTTTCTCTCCAAGGTGCACGCTCTTGTAATGAACAGTGAGATGATCCCTGCGGCCAAAACACTTTCCGCATTCTTCACACTGATGAGCCTTTTCACCTTAAAGACCCAAATATCTGATTATTATATGCACTTCAGTTTTTCCCCCCAGAAATAAATTACCAAACAGGAAAATAACACGGGGGAGAAATAGACCAGGAAAGTAAAGCCACCCTCAGCTGAGGGTGTAACGATCTGAAATTGATCAGCATGACTAAGGTACTCTTTAAAAAAAATATGGTTTCAAAAATTCACCGTGACATGAACTTGAACACCCAGGTACAATCATTTCTCTTCAAGCGTCCATGTTCTGCTAACTTCCTTCAACTCCAATCAAAATGATAAATATTATCCTGGCATCTCCCTTTAGGGCAGCAGTTCTCAACCTGTGGGTCGCGACCCCTTTGGGGGTTGAATGACCCTTTCACAGGGGTCGCCTAAGACCATCGGAAAACACATATATAATTACATATTGTTTTTGTGATTCATCACTATGCTTTAATGATGTTCGATTTGTAACAATGAAAATACATCCTGCCTATCAGATATTTACATGACGATTCGTAACAGTAGCAAAATTACAGTGATGAAGTAGCAACGAAAATAATTTTATGGTTGGGGGTCACCACCACACGGGGAACTGTATGAAAGGGTCGCGGCATTAGGAAGGTTGAGAACCACTGCTTTAGGGAGCCGTGGGCAGCCATCGCTGCATAATCCACATGATGTGCACAATGCTAATGTTGAGCATTTGATTAAAACAATTTTAAAATATAGTTTGTAGTCATTAAAGACAACCAAGTGATTAAACTTACAGTGGAAAAAAAATGGGTCATAAAATGATGTCCCTTTCAAATGCTGCTTAAAAAAGGTAGTTAGAACCAGCGTTCAAGGAGTGGCCCTCATAGACCCAATTATTAGACTAATAGCCAACGTTAATTAGCATTAAATAGCATGTGCTTTTCAGGTGCTTATACAGAAGGGCTTCGAACAGCCTGACCTAACACACTCACCTGAATGTATCTTTTTGTGCTTCGTCAGGTGGTCGTGGCGAATAAATGTTTTCCCACACTCGTCGCACTCGTACCTCTTGTCATCGTGGTGGACTCGCAAGTGAAGTCTATAGGGGAACAGAGTTCAAGAGCACGGGAGGCGGTGACTCCGGAGGAACAACGGGGGTGACTCCACGCGGGGGAGCGGCTGTCTGCTCCCAGCCTCATCCCTTTCCGGCTCCCTTTCTAGGTCTCTGCCACCTGACTCCAGGCTTCCTGCATTCTCACCTCTTCAAACAAGCACTCAGCTCCGGCCAGGCTCCCACACGGCCGGACGACACTGCCTCCTCACCTTTCAGATCCTCCATCTACTTCACTAGACCTACCACGCGCTGGACTCGTATCCCTCTGGCCAGTGAGGTCTCCGAGCAGCCAGAGGAGGAGAGAATCCAGAAGGACTGGAAGCAGACAAACGGGTAGGAGCCCAGGGGACAGATCGGAGGGTGGCCAGTGACAGCCAGTAATTAAAGGAACCCTTTCGGGGCACAGGCAGCGCTGATAAAGTGACAGTTGAGAACTGAGTGGATGTCTAAGTAATCAGCTTTCTGACAATTACATTTTACTACTGTTCTTCGTATTTAACCAGACAAAATATGGCTCATTTCGTAGTTACCCAAGGACAGATTATAAAAGGTTTAAATTCTTAAAACTGACTTAACTGGGATTATTTTTATCCTCACCGTCCTCCAACTATGTCTGTCCCAGAGAAACGAACAGCTTTCTCATTCAAGTCGCCCAAACATGCTGATTCTACTGTCACTAAAACTGTAAACTGACTGAATTACCTGCAAAGGGAAGCATTCTGTTTAAACTTCGAGGTAAATAGCAAAGCCTTAAGGTTAACATCCTTCAGAGCATTAATTAAAAGTAAAACTGTACACGTATCTCCCAGTACACAGTCACCTATTCATCCAGAAAAAAAAGCAACTTTTCAGAAACTGCAAATGTGGTCAAGGATTCAGTTGCAGAAATAATTACATGAATTTCAAATAATGAAGACTTTCAAAAACTGAGAATCCTGGAGTTTTCCATTTTGCCGTATTTTCATACCGAACTATTCTTGGACAATCGAGAGTGAAGAAATACACTAAGTTTGCAACACCAGAGTTATAATGAATTTTGATTCAAAGAAAAGTCATGAAATAAATCTTTAAACGATGACAATTCCGACAGTAAAGCATCCGGCAGATCTGGTGATGAGGAAACGTTTAAAAACATTTTATAGCGCAGAATGAAGACGATATTGGAAGATGTAGGGGGAAGTCTACACGTTTTTGCACACCTTTGCTTGTTACAAGTACTGAGAAATGTTTTCACTCAACACACAACTAAGCCACTGGTAAGGAAACAGAAGTAAAATGCAGACGTAATTCTCGCTCTCGTACCAGGAAGAAAAGGGCTGACTCACCTGTAGGAGCTGCCGTGACGGAAGCGCTGCCCACAGATGCTGCAGAGATGAGGCTTCTCCCCGCTGTGGATCCTCATGTGCTCCTTCAGTGTGGTTCTACGTTAAAAAACACACGTTTAAACTAAAGATTTATTGAATGCCAACGCGTACACGAAACAGACGCCCAGCAGGCTCACTAGAAACGTGTTCAAGCGAACGCTCTTCTTCTAGGACCACTCTCCCCTGCGCACACATGCTTGTGGTCTCTCTCCTCTGACAAAACCAAAAAGGACAAAATCTGAACGCTGGCCCCTTTGCCACTGGTTTGCTCATGACTTACCATCTATCTATCTATCTATCTATCTTACACAAAACCTGGAGAAGAATAAAGAGAAGATCCGTAATTGAGACTGCTGAGTCGGGGAATTCTTTTCCCATCTGCCTGGAAGATCAAACCCATAAGCCAGGATGTCCGCCGGGATCAGGCCCGGGGCTCAGTGCTTTCAGGAGTCAGAACGCATCGACCCTGCACTGCGCGCTGGGAGGGAGGGTGCCCGCAGCCATGGGCCATGGCCCGAGTGGGGGGTGGAAGGATCCAATGACCTCCCTTCTCAAGCACCTTTACCTCAGGCCCCCTTTTCTGCCTCTCCTTCCCGCTGGCTCCAGGGGGACCCCCCGCTGCTAGTCCTTGTGCCTTCTGTGGGTTCTGTGATGCCTCCTTCGGCCCGAGACCTCAGTCAGGTACCACTGACCCACTGGCTTTCTAGCTGTAAACCTGTGTTGTTCTTGTTACCTTGCTCCTCAGTCTCTGTAGCTGACTGTCTTTAAGATAAATAAATAAGTGAATAAACGTTAATGTATTTCTAGTGGGGTTCCAGAAAAAGGCAAAATGGTACCCACATTACATTCACCATCTAAACTCACAAATCCTGGCTTTATATCATCGTCTATAGCAGCGGTTCTCAACCTGTGGGTCGCGACCCCTTTGGCGGCCGAACGACCCTCTCACAGGGGTCGCCTAAGACCATCCTGCGTATCAGATATTTACATGACGATTCATCACAGTAGCAACATGACAGTGATGAAGTAGCAACGAAAATGATTGTATGGTTGGGTCACAACACGAGGAACTGTATTTAAAGGGCCAGGAGGTTGAGAACCACTGGTCTATAGCATTTTACATAATTTGTGTTTTACCTTTAGCCCTGACGTTAAAGCATAACTCAAGCACGCTGTGTCCTGCGTTTCTCTAGTCCTCACACACGACAGGTCTCATTTCCACACCCGGCACCAGGGCGCTCCTGTGTGTGTGGGCCCTCACCTCTCTCGCACGGACTTCCCGCAGATGAAGCAGGTCCACTTTCTCTTCCCGCCGTGCGTGCACTCTATGTGGCGCTTCAGGTTCCCCGTGTCATTGAACTGGCGGCCGCAGATGTCGCACGGAAAGGGACCTGGAAGGGAAAGAACAGTCAAGTCCAGGCTGAGGAGGAGAAACTAAGGTCAACTTCCCTGGTGTGTGTGCGACCAGAGAGGCTGCAGGCAACCTGGAACCTACTACCTGTGATCGGCATCTGAAGGGGGAGGGGCAGTCCGGAGGGACGGAGCCCCTCACCCGTGGGATCTGACACCGTCTCCAGCCAGCGTGCCGGCACCGAGTTCACCTGTGGGACAGCCAGCTGGTGTCGGGGACCCGCCTACCGGTGTGGGGAGAACCCCACACACATCTGGTGACCAGAGGCTTCAGAAATGAAGGGTTTTGTGTGAACAGCGAAGGAGGAAGACACGGTGGGTACGAACTGGGTTTCCCCTCCACGGGAGACTGGGCTTTCCCCTTTACAGTATCTAACAAATGGATGCCCACTCTCACTAGTGCCTATGTCACGACACGATGCAATCATTTATTTACAGTTTTCTCTTCTCTTCCCAGAAGGCAGATTTATAATCCTGTCTATATTTCTGGAGTAGAAGACCCCTCAATTCCCAACAGAAGCTGTTTTTCCCAGAACTAACGCCTAAAGAAACTTCTCACATGCAACACGCAGTCATGAACGTGCCTTCAACCACAGTTCTTACATTACACGTATCATAATAGTATGGAAGCCATGCAACAGTAATTACAAAACCTGTTTCCATATGACGGCGTCTTAGACATGCTGAGATGAAACACTATGCTAGAACAGCTTACTAAATGCAGAGAAGTCTAAGCAAAAAAAAAACCAAAAATAAGCCCCCAGCAGACACTAGTGCTATATACTAGCTGAAGTATTCCTGACCACACAATGGAGGCTTCAGAATATTGGGAGATAGATGGTCAATCTCTCTTCCCAAAGTATCTCCCTACTTCCAAAAGCGTTTTAAGTCCTTCAAACGTTTTATTCCATGAAGTAACTGTACGACCCTAGGTCACCATGGTCACCCACTTCTAGAATATGTAATTATCAATTTCCATCTTGAATGTGGTATCGAGAAATGCCATGTTCCAGATGAAGTTAAAATCGGTGAGACGACTACCTCCTAATTTTGAACGATATATTCTTATTAATATAGTTCAAAGCTACACTGGTTTCCGTCAAGTCCTATGACACTGGTTTGGATTGTGCCTTGAAAGTCTCTGCTATTAAGCCCAGCTATAAAACAAGAGTTGGGATCTGGACCATTTTACAGTGTCCCCCACGACCAAAAGTCAGGTCATCCCCATGCCTACGGCTTTGCATTTATTCTTAAATAAATGTAACTTAATTTGTTTTAACCTTTTGTCCAGTTTTCTTTTGACATTTTTATTTTCTACTGTATTTATCACCCCTCCCAGCTTCACGTTAGCTACACATTTCCTGAGCACGAGGCACGTATCTGCATCCAAGTTGTCAATGGGAACGCTGGACAGGAAAAGCCTCCACCGGGCATGACAATACTCATCTCCGGGGTTAACCATGGTGACTGCACCTCACAGCACGACCAGCAGGCCACAGTCCCCGCTGTGCCCACACGCTCTGGGGAGAGACTTCACCCAACACGACACTGAATTCCAAGCAGACGAAGTCTATTGCCCGCCCTGAAAAATGAGTTTTTTCCAACACAAAGAAGCCGTAACCCAACCACTCCCAGAGCTATCCAACTGTCAACGGTGAGTAAATGCCGTTTAGAACCACGGAAAAATCTGCCACCGAAACAATAAATAAACAGACGTATTTCCTGGTCTCCAGGAACTGCAGGACAGGCAGCGCCCCTCCCGATCCACACGACTCCTCCTCCTCCTCCTCCCCCTCCTCCAGCAGGCCCCCCGCACGCTGTGTCACCAACCGCTGCCACTGCTTCTGGAAGAAGCCACCTGCTCACCCAGATGGAACTTCTCCTGATGCTTCAACCGGGCGAACCGGGACTTGAAATGCTCTTCGCAGTAGGTGCACTTGAAGGGCTTGTCCTGGGAGTGCAGGATCATGTGCTCCTCCAAGTGAGGCCTCCGAGTGAAGTACTTCTTGCAAATCTAAAAGAACGTGCACACAAAAGGTAAGGAGACCGGATTAGAAATTAAAGTACAGATCTCGTGATGAGGAAGAAACCCATAAATTCAAGTAGATTTAAAAAAAAAAAGTGCTGACAGTGCTGCTCCGGGGCCTAAAAAGGCCTCTAGTTTTGGCCGAGGCTTCTTGGATCCTAGCCGCCATGCCAGAAGGAAGCTCAAGCAGCCCCACCAAGAGACCAGAGCAGAGAAGACGCCCAACACCAACTTGCCAGCGCTGTGATGAGCCGCTTTGGAAGTGCCCCAGACCAGACCAGATCACACCACCCACTGGCTGCAAAGGACCGAGTGACGTCAGCTGAAACCACGTGGAACAGAAGAATCACCTTGCAACGTCCTGCGCCAAATTCAGACGACTGACCCAGAAAAGGACTGTTTAAGGCCACTAGGCCTTGAGGTGGCTTGTTATGTAGCAACAGATAATCAGAAATGGAGGGGAAGTTCTAACATTTGCACATATCGCCCATATGCACGGGCGATAGTGGTGTCACAGTTTACACACACAACTTCAAGTTCAAGGCATGGTGATCACAGTAAAATAAAGCCAGGACTGTATTTGTCAGGCTCATCACCAGCCTTAATTTGTCAAACGTGGGATGTCATAGCTACAAGGCAGATCTAAAAGGCAGCTACACTAAGTTGGTGTTACGTGCAAGTCTGATTACTTTCACCAAAGGTCCCATGGCATTTAGCTTTGTTTTCTAATACAAATGAAAAGCTATTACCTCACATTTCCAACTTTCACTCTTGGTCTTCCTAATGGAAATAAACTCTTGTGCATTTTCAGGATGAAATCTGGAAGAGAAAGAGAAAAGAATGATTAAGAAAAGATTGTATTAGTTAAATCAACATTCCATATAACCTGGGGACAGTAATTACAAGAATCAGACAGATCCCTTTCTTACACAGACAGACACACATGAGTATGTTAAGAATATACATGTCACTTCATGAAGTGCATGCATATGCCTAAATGTATGCAGATGTTGTCAAAAAGTCTAGACCAGCTGTGGGCAAACTACGGCCCCCAGGCCAGATCCGGCCCGTTTGAAATGAATAAAACTAAAAAAAAAAAAGACCGTACCCTTTTATATAATGATGTTTACTTTGAATTTATATTAGTTCACACAAACACTCCATCCATGCTTTTGTTCCGGCCCTCCGGTCCAGTTTAAGAACCCATTGTGGCCCTCGAGTCAAAAAGTTTGCCCACCCCTGGTCTACAGTCTGCAAAACACGAAGCCAGGACAGCACTGGGGACAAGCCCCCCCTCCACCGACGCTCCCGGCGACCTGCGTGTGTAAGCCGGAGGGCACGGTGAGTGTGTGAGGGAAGCAGGGCCACACTTGCCTCTTCACGTGCTTGGCGAGCGTCTTCCTGCTGGCGTGGAGTTTGTTACAATAAGGGCACTTGTGCTCCTTCTTATGAAAGTCGGTTTCGCTGCCGTGCTTCCTCCTGTGAACAGTCAGGTTATACTTTGTCGAATAGCGCTGGTGACAAATATCACACTCAAAGGGCTTCTCACCTGTGTGAACACGTGTGTGGCTCTCGTATTTCCCTGGGAAGAGAGAGACGGCAACATTAAACTCAGTACCTTCACCACAGTGACTAGAATTTGGCAGTGGGGGGGAAAAACAACCTCATGATTCATAGCCTAGTTAATACACCGACCCACACCCACACCTAAAGGAAGTTTACCTAAACTTGTAACTTTGATAAGCCTCAGCGACTTATTGTTTTGAGCTGACTGTTCAAGACACCTTCCCTCTAAAACCTGGGCCACCTCCTCCCCTGTGTTTGAGGGCCGAGTCTGAACGCAGGCCTTTTCTGCGAGACAGGTGAGCTGGAGGGTCCCCAGGTAAAACCCGGGATGACTGTTCTCCGACATCACAAGTAACGGGTAGGTTTTATCAAACCAGAATGAAGCTACGTTGCGCCTTAGATCAGCGCTCCCCAATTCCTCGGGCTGTGAGTAGGGCTGGGGGTGGAGGGAAGGGACAGAACGCAGCAGAAAATACCAAAGTGCGTTCACACTAGCTGGCCTGTCAGAGACACGCAACCACACTAGATTAATGAACAAGAGCAACTCGCATTCCTCGAACACCTTCTACATGTCATCCGTTGTAAGCAATTCCATCCTCATAGTCACCCCAGAAGGTACCGTTAGCATCTACCCCACTCGACGACGTACAAAGGACAGAAGGTGAAGGAACTTGCCCAAGATCTGGGTTCAAAAATGCAGGCGGTGGGACATCCCCCGCAGCCCATGCTTTTTTAACTGGTATGTTATAATATCAACTGCCATCTCTAAGTTCTGGGGGAGAGAACACAGCCCCAGTGAGGCTAAGGGGGGAGGGGGGTGTGGAATGAGAGGGAGGGGTAACGTAAAATACACTCCGAAAGGTAGGCTGGAAATAGGCCTGCAATGGGACCCATCTATTCCCACAATGACCTGCGCTGCCCTTGGATTAAAAAGCTGCCAAAAGCTAATCTATCAGGACCTTCATCTTGAACAGTATTTTCCCAAATGATGTGCAGGGAACTTTCATCCCTTGGGGCAGGGAAAGAAGTACCCCCCAAAAGTGTCTTGTGATGAAATTACTGCAGGAAATGCCAGGTTATGTAGAGTGAACAGGTTTCTTCGCAGGGACTTTGACAGGTAACACAGAGGGAATGACAGCACCGGCCTCCCAACCTAACGTCCACGCAGAACTCCTCTCGGAAGCATCTCACCGTCTGAGGCCTGCGTGCTGGGCTCGCAGGCCATTTGTGACCCGACTCCCTGCTCACTCCTCCCGAGTCAAATTAGGTCAAATGAAGGCAGAACACGGGAGGCATGAGCGAAGAATCCAAAGCGTAGGAAATAAAATCTATTGGAAAGATGACATCTTCTCGGTCTCTCCATGCAAAGATGTCGCTCTCTCCCCTGCACCCCGCACAGCATTCGTCGAGAGCTCTGCAGGAGCGACTATCCACCTGAGTCAACTAGTTCACCTGTATTTCTGTGCCCTTCCCACTGGGTTACTCAGGAAAAGTTACATTATTCGTGTTTGTACAGAGCCGCACAGTCAAAATCGAGATAAATTATTAAACTGGGCTGTCAAAAGCATTCTCATTCGGAGTGACGAATATTCAGAGGCATGATGAAAAGCAAAAAGATGTCAGCGCCGCTGTGCCAACAGTACACTGTCGCCTATTTGGAGAGGAAATGATTACCAATCCCTTATAAAACCAATTTCCACCTATAGCCAGTCCCATGAGTAACTCACCCCTGCCACACACATGGGGAGAGATTAAACTGAGTAATTTTACAAAGTGGGGTTGCATTCACATGTTCCTTTTACCGTTTTATGTGGTAGACTACATTTCACAATTTCATAACTTTGATTTATATGGAAAATATCAATTGTTGCAATTTAGAAGTCCACATTAGAAAAGTTCATATAAGAGGGCTTCAAAACTTATTGTACTAGCAAATACGAGATATCTTAAATACTCACTGACATATTTTTAACTCAAGCTGACAGACCACAGTTCCTACAGAGACTTTTCTAATAAGGGAAAAGGTGATGTATTCATTATTACGACAACCAAAGAATCTACTAATTAGGGCACTTCCTAAAGACTCGTCCGACAAAATTAAATCGCAATCAGTACAGCTTTACTCTCAACTATATAACAGTCTAGTCCGAAACCTCCCGGCTCTAAACAACGCCCAACACTGGAAAAGTGATGTGTTTCTAACTCACATGTTACCAAGTCCAAGAGGAAATGGTACACGCATTATTGAATTAAATCTAATATGACTTAATTCAATTTTCTGTCATGACTCAAAAATAGCACTTATCTATGAAATCGAATTAGCATATAAATCAAATCTCTACATTCACCATAACTGATGCTCTGGAGATTCTCAAACCAAATACACAAACCAATCACCTGCCGCCTACTGTCAGGACACGAAGAGGAAATAAAGCCTTATGAATACTTAATTCCTGAATCACGACAAATTTAAACGAGCAGGATAAAATATGTACTGGAAACCAAACACCCACCCTAGTGAAGTATTCTTTTTAAAATTGACTTTCCAGCCCTAACTGGCGTGGCTCAGTGGATAGCGCGTCGGACTGCTGACTGAAGGGTCCCGGGTTCGATTCTGGTCAAGGGCATGTACCTTGGTTGCGGGCACATCCCCAGTAGGGGGCGTGCAGGAGGCAGCTGATCGATGTTTCTCTCTCGTCGATGTTTCTAACTCTCTAACCCTCTCCCTTCTTCTCTGTAAAAAATCAATAAAATGTATATTAAAAAAAGAAAATATTAAAAAAATAATAAAATTGACTTTCCAAGTCCAGTTTTTAATCATGGCCTTCAAAACACCCCTGAAAACTAAGTTATTAGAGACAGAAGTGCGACACACTCTCTCTTCTTACCTATCCGGTCGAAGGTTTTATCGCATATGGGGCACTGCAGGATTTTTTTGTTATTTATCTGAATGATCACGGGAGATAACCCGTCCTGAATACTTCCTGCAGAATCGCCGGTCTC